GATCCGTGATAACGAGATGAAATACGACTTACGAGCAACGCATTTTGGGTAACAACTCTACATTAATAGCATCTTGATCATATCGAGTATTGAGCCAGAGCCCCTAAGGTTGTACACGAGCTAGAAATTGAGCTCGAATCAATTATCAATATTAATGAGTTGAGATTGAGCCTTAATCAGTCGATTCGAACTTTAATGAGCCGGTATAAAATTTATATAAAACTTTTTTTTTCGAGCCTTATTGAACTGAGTTCGGCTCGTTGACAAAATGAGTTTTCAACGAGTACAGGCTTCTTTTTTTTTTTCCAGGCAAATAAGCAAATTTCATAAAACTCAAACCAAAGTTCCGGTAACCAAATGGCTACAGCCTTACAAGCCCAACGAAATCAGACCCACCCAGCACGACCTAGGAGGACCTAGACCTAAAAGGCAACAAGCCTTGAAAGGAAAAAGCACACAAACCATTAAAATAGAGTACCAATAGAAACATTACAAAAAATCATCAAATCCTTAATACAAACCAAGTCTGAACATAAATCTGCTTGAGACCTAAGGCTATCAGATAAATAGGCCACCAAATCATCAGAGTGCAGCAACAAATCAAAATCACAGCATCTGTTATCCTTAGCCATAGTTAGACCCCAAGCAATTGCCATCAACCAACCTTCTCTCCCATGCACAGCAGCAGGAAAAGCTTCTTGCCACTGGTATTGTTGAATTCCAAGCTGGTAGAAGAAGCAGTCCACAAGAACCTCACCATTAGTGGATGTTGAAGCACTGAGAGTCATAAATGACTGACCTACCCCCTTGAAAAACTCATCCAGCTGAGGTTGTTCATGTGTTTGACCCTTAGAAGTATCCAAACAAACTATATTAGTTGATGTCCATTCTATCCACTCAGACTTGGCCTCCTCCACAATCTGCAAATCATGGATCCAATCCCCCTTGTACAGCCACTTGTTCCTAGCCTTCCACAAGTGCCACATCAAGAAAGCAGATAATCCTAACCTCTCTTCTTTCATCCTCATATGTTTAGCACAACAAGTATTAAACCACCAATTTTGAAAATTCACCACATCTGAACTCAAGTTACCCCAATAAAGGCCACATATTTTCCAACAGTTCCTAGCTCTTTTGCAGTTAAACAGCACATGATTTATATCTTCCTCCACTTCCCCACATATAGCACAGATGGGATCAACACACATACCTCTCCTTAGAAGTTGATCAGTTGTACTCAAATGCCCAAACCAGCATCTCCAGAGGAAAGTTTTAACTTTCTGCTTGATTTTCAACTTCCAGGTTGTTCTCCACATCTTGGTCATGAGAGCTGGATCCCTGCTAGTACTTGCCATCTCTTGAGGGTTGGATTTCTGCTTCATGATAAACTTGTAAACCTCTTTAACTGAAAAGTGGCCCTTAGGATGCCAATGCCAGATCAACTTATCAGCCCCATTAGAAACTGAAAGTGGAATATTTAAAATTGCCTCTGCCACAACAGGAGGAAAAGTTTGATCAATCAAATCCACATCCCACTCCCTACTACCCTCTCTCATTAAATCACTAACCTTACTCAGCCTATTCCTATCATCAGCAAAAGAGCACCCAGGTTTAAAGTTATGACAATCAGGAATCCAGGGAGAATTCCAGATAGAAATAGACAGCCCATCCCCCACTCTAAATCTAGCCCCCCCCTCCAAGAAAATTCCTAACACTCATCAAACATTTCCAAAGCCAAGAATCATGAGGTTTAGAAGAAATAGAAAAAAGATTATCTTGCCAAAAGTATCTCCCCTTGATGACTCTACTAACTAAAAGATTAGGTTGGGTCAAAAATCTCCAAAGTTGCTTCACTAATAAAGCATCATTATAAGCTATAAGGTCCTTAAATCCCAACCCACCCTTATCTTTATCCCTAACTAGCTTATCCCACCCCACCCAATGAATCCTCTTACCCCCAGAATCATTGAAACCCCACCAAAAATCAGCAATATCCTGACAAAGCTTTTTAACAATAGTCAGTGGCACCTTGAAACATGACATAATGTATGTAGGAAGAGCATTTAATACTACCTTAATCAACACTTCCTTACCACTCTCACTCAAGAACTTGTTTTTCCAGTTGTTGATCCTATTCTGAAGACACTCACAAAGAAAACTGAAAGTCTCTCTCTTATTTCTGCCTATACCTAAAGGAAGACCCAAATATTTAGAAGAAGACACTCTAGAAATCCCAGCCAAGACATTACAGATATCACCACATTGCTCCTCTTGCATGTTTTTAGAAAAGAATATAGAGGATTTGTCAAAATTCACTAACTGGCCAGAGTCATTACCATACTTGTTCAAGATAGAGATCAAAAGAGAGGCATGATGCCTATCAGCCTTACAGAACAACAAAGAATCATCCGCAAAAAATAAATGGGAAATAATAGGGGCATGAGGACCAATTCTAAGACCTTGATAAAGACCAGAAACACAGGCTTGATGAATTAGAGAAGAGAAAGCTTCTGAGACCATAATGAACAAATAGGGAGACAAAGGATCTCCTTGTCTTAAGCCTCTAGAAGGTTGCACAAAACCAACAGGAGACCCATCCATATTGAAAGAATAAGAAGCTGAACACACACAGGCCAAAATCCAAGAAATGAAAGTAGAACAGAAACCCATTTTCCTACAAACCCTAGCAATAAAGCCCCATTCCACTCTGTCATAAGCTTTTGCCATATCAAGTTTCACAGCCATATAACTCATTTTACCTCTTCTCTCTCTATTTATGAAATGAATGCATTCATTGGCTATAATTACATTGTCCAATATTTGCCTACCAGGAACAAATGCAGATTGAGATTGAGAAATGCAAACAGACAGAACAGGTTTCAATCTATTAGCCATCACTTTAGCAATGAGCCTATAAACCACAGAACACAAACTAATAGGCCTAAAATCAGCAACACAAACAGGGTTTTTCTTCTTAGGGATAAGGGTAATCACAGTATGGTTCAACCCTCTAGGCATTCTACCATTAGCAAAAAAGTTATCAACAGCTAGGCAAATGTGATGCTTCACAACAGACCATGACTCTTGGAAAAATAAAGCAGTGAAACCATCAGCTCCAGGAGCTTTATATTTGGCCATGTCAAACAAGGCACTTTTAATCTCAGTCTCATCAACATACTTTATCAAATCAGTATTCATGTCATTAGTGATGGTGCAAGCAATACCCTCCAGAGAACACAACTCATCCTGAGGGTTAGAGGGTCTAAATATATTCTCAAAATAAGCAAGCAATTCAGACAAAGTTTCATGAGAATTCAAGCAGGGACTCCCATCCCTCTTCAAGATACCCCCTAAACTATTAACCTTCCTTCTCTGGTTCACACAAGCATGAAAAAATTTGGAATTTCTATCCCCCTCATGAAGCCAATGCACCCTAGCTTTCTGCTTCCAAAAGTTTTCCTCAGTTTTGTAGGCTAATTGTAATTCAACTTTCTTAGTAAACCATTTCCCCCAATCCCTATTCCCTCCCTGCTCTCTAAGATGAAGCAAATTATCCTTACACTGATCAATCACAACCCTAGCATTAATCACATGAGACTTCTTCCAAGTTAGCAACTGATTTCTCACATTTCTAAGTCTATCTTGGATACTAAAAAGGGCATGCCCCTTCACAGATTTATTCCAAGATTCACTAACCACAGTTTTAAAGTCATTCAAATGGATCCAATTAGCATCAAAAACAAATCTTTTCTTAACAGGCAAAACAGCAGGGACACAATCCAACAACAATAAACAATGATCTGAGGAAATCATATTAATATGCTTCACAACAGAATCAGGGAACTGAAGGCACCAGTCAGGAGAAAAGAGGAATCTATCCAACTTCTCTTCCACAAAACTGGCACCTTGTCTGTTATTGGACCAAGTGAATGGGTGGCCAATAATTCTAGTTTCCACAGCCCCTAAATTCCTAACAAAAGCCCTAAAGGAAGAAAAGCTTGTTTCCTCTCTAATAATCCCCCCTCTCTTATCAGCATGACACAAAATATCATTGAAATCCCCACAAACAAACCAATAATCCCCCCACGTCCAACTATGTCTGGACAACAAATCCCATTGAGCAGCCCTCATAGCAGAATCAGTACTAGCATAGATGAATATAGCCCAGCACACCTTATCAACACCTCTAAATTTAAAGCAGACCTCTAATCCAAAACCTAACCTGTTGAGCTCAATCAGAGATATATTCTCTGACCAAGTCAAGAATAAACCTCTCTGACCAAGTCAAGAATAAACCCCCCTACTACCCACAGGCTTCTCATAGAACCATCTATCTAAAAGCTTCAGCTTCTTACACATAGAAATAACAAATTTTTCTTTTTTTTTTTGTTTCAGATAAAAAGGAAAAATCTGGGTGGTGGAGCCTTAAGGTCTCCTTAAACTGGGAAATTGTAGAGGGTCCCCCCAAACCTCTACAATTCCACACAGAAACCTTCATTGGAAACTGTGGGACCAGTTAGGGCTGGTTTCCTCCACCTCAGTCAAAGTCATATCCCCAGACAACTTAGTTTTCTTAACTAAGTGCAGCTCATTCTC